AGCTATAAGCTATTTTTTAAGTTAGTAAAGTTATTAAATTAAAACTTTTATAATTTAGGATATATTCTATTAATATAGCCTATTTTATTATAATTATAATAGGTAATAGAGCTATCTATTTTTAATATAAAGTTATATAAAAGCCTAAGTATATAAAAGCTTATTTTAAGAATTACTTTTATAATTCTACTAAATTATTAGAATTTTTCTAGAGTTACTTAAATACTAGCTTATTTTTATATTAATTATCTTATCTCTTCCTCTAATTTTATATTAAGTTTTAATATTAAGTTATAAAAATAATAATTTTAATATATATCTTTAGAATTTATATAGACTATATTAATATTTAATCTTAAAAAGAGAATAGTAGCTTAATATAAAAAGAAAAAGCTCTTTACTTTTTATTATATTTTAGGAATTATTTCTCTAGGAAATTAAGGTATTTATAGAAGTTTTAGGGTAATTGTAATTTTCTTTAATATACTTACTTAAGTTATCTTATTAAAAGGAGTTTTTAATTAGTAGAATTTTTAAGAAGAATAAAAGTTAATTTTTAAAGGTATTTTAGGTATTTTCTATATTTAAATAGTTACTTAAAGTTATTTTATTAAGATATTAATTCTATTTTGTTTTTTCTTTAAAAACTAAGTTATTAAAAGTTAGAAGAATCTTTTTATAATCTTAGTTATATTATTATTAAGCCTCTTTAAAAGCTTATTAAAGATTTTAAAATTAGTTATTTTACTTTTAAATAATAGTAGGTAGCTTAAAAGTAAGTATATTATATATTTAAATTTTCTTTTTATTATTAGATAAAAAGCCAGATAAATATTACCAGTTTTTATAGAGTTTATTATTAGAATTTTAGTTAATAATTTAAGTAGTAAGTTAGTAGAATTTAGCTTTATATTCTTAAAGTTTTTATAATTTCTTAAGTTAGATAATATACTTATAAATTACTGCCTCTTACTTAATAAGTATTAAAAAGATTACTTTAATCTTCTTAAGCTTAATATTAAAAGTTAATATAAATTAGCTGCTATTAATATTAGAGTTAGTAGTAAATTTCTTTTTATTAATATAGGCTACTATTTTATACTTAAATAGCTATAAAAAAAAGCTTTAAAATTATAAAGAGGTTATATATAAATACATATATAGCTAAATAAGTATAAAAAGATACTATAAAAGTTATATTAAAATTATTAGAGGTTATAAGATAGTAGAAGAATAGAATTAATTATAGATAAAGGGATATCTTATAAAGGATATAGAGATAAGAGATAAGATAAGAATAAGGGATAATAGTATATAAATAGTATAATATATATTATAGTGTATATAGATAAAAAGAGAAGAAATAAACCCAGAGGAAGCTCTTCTTTTATAGACAAATTCAGCTGGTAGATATATAGGTATCAGGATAAAAATAATACCATTGGAAAGCCCAGAAATTCAGCTTCAAGGTGGTATTGAATATGTCTTCCTATGTTCCCTAATTGCCGAGTAGTCTTGATTTCAAATCACGGAGGAATTGAAAGTCTATGCTTATAAACTAAAACACTTAATTTCTAAGCTCGTATAGATTAATAAGCCGAATTAAATAGATTAGTTATATAGTATAAATAGTGTTATTAGTACTGTATTTTAGTGTTATATTATAAGATTTTATCTAGAATTTTTAAGCTTATATTTAAGCTTAGATTCTAGCTAATAGAAGTTATATATATATATATATATTTATATATTTATTGGACTTTAATAAAAACTAAAGCTTATAAACTTTAATTATACTAACTCTCTACTTTATATATAATATATCTATAGTAAAACTCTAATATTAAGCTAGTATAACTCTTAAAGGCTAATATTAAGTTATTTTACTATATAAAAATTAATATTAAATTAATTTAATATACTAAGAGGAGCTGAAACCTACCTGTATTATATTAATAGTAATATAAGCTTAGGTTAAGTAGTTTTAAAATTATAACCTTAAGTATTTTATTAAGTATAATAATAAGATTAAAATTATAATAATCTTCTAAACTTACTCTTAATATAAGAAGATATAGAAGAGGTTTCTAGAGATTCTTAATATAGATAATATATATAAAACTAACTACTTTAAAATATACCTTTTTTAAATTACTAGTAACATATATAATAAGTATGCAATATATCTAAGTATGCAATATATTTCCAATTTATACCTAAAACAGTACTTTTTTAAAAATTCATTAAAAATTCAAACTATACTTAAAATAGCTTATACTTTATATATAAATCTACTAAGTATATAAAAATAAGTATCAATTTTCCTAGACTTTTAAAAAAAAACCTTTATAAACTTATTTAAAAAAATCTTATTTATACTGTTTTTTTTTCTTATTTATAATTTTAAAAAGCTAAATAAATTAGTAAAAAGTTTAATAAAAATACTGCTTTATAGCTTTTTTAGTTATATATTTATAATTAATTTCCTAAAATTCCTAGAACTAAATAGCCTATTTTAGAAAATTTAAAGTTTACCTTTTTAGCTGTATAGTATTAGTATATTATATACTTAGATACATTATATACTTATTATATATGTTATTATAAATTAGAAATTAGTTATAAATTTTAAGTTTAGTCTTATTAATATAAAAAAAGAGAAGGATTTTCTTTAGCTTTATAAGTAACTTAATAGCCTCTACTACTCTTTATATATTTCTATACCTTCTATTATTATTATAAATAAGAAAATAACTCTTAAAAATATACTTTCTTATATTTTTCCAAATATATAGTAGCAGCTTTACATTTTTCATATTAATATTAATATTAAAGCTAAAATTATAGCTTATTAAAAGAATTCTTATTCTATTACTAATAATAATATTAATAAAGATATTAATAGTAATAAGATAGTAATAAAAGATTATTAAGCTACTACTTAAGCTATAACTAACTATAAAATTAAGAGTATTACTATATTATAGCTACTACCATAGCTATTAAATAAGGCAAATTATAATAATATATTTATAGCCTAGTAGTATATTATCTTTACTATTAAAAAAGATAACTTTATAAGTATTTAAATCTTAATAAATACTATATATAATTTATAGTAAAATATAATTTTATAATATAGTTTAAGAGAGTATATATCTTAATAAAAATAGTAGGTATATTATTTTATTAATTATTATTATAACTTTAACTAGTAGGTTAATAGCTTTATTAAGACTGTCTATAAAAATATAAAGTTATATCTAATTATAAATACTAGTAATTTTTTATATTTATATATAATAATAAAGTAAATATTAAAGTAGAAAAAGTATAACTATAATTAAAAAGTAGCTAATATAATAATATAATAATAGTAAAAGTATATTAAATAATTCTAATTTAGTAAGTTATTTATATAAATTATATATATTTAGTTTTTTTATAATCTTACTTAATATTATTAAATAAATTAAAGTTATATAATAATTTTAAATAATAGAAATAAATAATAAAAGCTATATTTAATATTAAAAAAAAATAATAGTTAAATAATAAAATTATTATCTATTAATTTCTACTTAAAGCTTTTATTTAACTTCTTTAACTTTAACTTTATTATTTATAATTAATAATCTTACTATTTATAATTAATAACCTTAAAATAGTAATTTTATTTTAAATAAAAAAATATAAAAAAAACTAATATCTTTTATTATTAAAAAGCTAATTTCTTTTTTAATATTTATTTCTTATTTTATAATAATTAATTTTAAATATAATAAATTTTATTTAAAAAGCTTTTATTATTAGTAATTTATTATATTTATATTATATAAATAATATTTAATATAATTTTAAATCTTCTTAAAATTTAAAAAATAAATTAAAAAAATAAAAAATAAATTTCCTTTTAAATTTTCTTAAAAAAGAAAATTTATTTAAGCTATTATTATATTATTTATAATATCTAAATAAAAAATAATCAATGATATTATCTATTTTTAAATATTATTTACTTTTTTATAATAAAAATAAAATTAATAAATAAAAAAATAAAATTTTTAATAGTAATCTTATTTTATATATTTAAATAGAAATAGCTATATTTTATAACTTAATAAAAAATATTAATAATATTAATTTAAAAAGTTAAATCTTCCTTTAAAATATTACTAAAGCTTAATATAACTTCTAATTTTAAAAAACTATTATATTATATTAAGTTAGTATTAATACTAGCTATATAGAGTACTAGCTAAAGGGGGGATTTAAATAAAAATAAGTTATTATAGGCATTAGGAATCTTAAGGCATTAAGTCGAGTTGTAGGAGTTTTCAGTATATTTATTAAGGTTAGAGTCGAAAAAGTTAGATAGAATTCTAGTAGAGAAGAAAAAAGCAGCTTAAAACCCAAAACTTAGGCCTTAGCAACTATAATATACACACAACAAAAATACAGTAAATTTAAATACTAGGTTTCCTTATTGAGGGATATAAATTGTATATATTACTATTAATCTTTTAGCTAAGTAGTATTATTATATTATTATAGCTTTACTCTTAAATCTTAAGCCTTAGCTACTATAACCTTATTATAGTATATTTATATAGTAATATACTCTTTCTTATAATTATAATATTTATTATAGCTTTATAGTTAAGATATTACTAATAAAGAAAATAATCTATTCTTATTAATAGCTTAAGAAGCCCTTAGTAGGAATTCCCTGTATTTATATATAAATTTTGCTGATTTTTACAACTAGGACTTCGAGGAGCTATTACTGTGAATCTGCGATCCCGATGTTATTATCAACCTCCGCAGCAGGCCCCGGCTGTGATACCGACCCTAGGGCAGCCTCGTCAGAACCCACAGTCAACCCGACGACTGAACCCAAGCGTGCGCCGCACGCTCTCGCAGGCAGAAATAGAGACTCAGAGCAGTCAGCCATCCCGACGGCCGTCGATACAGAGATCGCGAGGCACTACAAACAGTAGGGGCCGGGGAACCAGAGGAGGACGGGGCCGGGGAAGAGGCAGAGGAGGCAGGGCAGCTACAGCAGCAGCAGCAACATCAGCAGCGCCGCCGTCTTCAGCCCCGGAGGAAGTCATCCCGGCCACGCAGCCGCAGCCCTCACAGCAGCCCTCACAGCAGCCGTGGCAGTCACAGCAGCCGGGGCAGTTACAGTGGCGGTAGCAGCCGCTCTGGCAGCCGCCGGAATAACAGCCGGGCCGGCTCAAAGTTACGAACTTTTCGGCGAAACACCGGAGATTCGTTTTTTGAACGATATGACTGCAGCCGGGCTGCAGCCGGGCTTGAAGGTTGAGGTGTGGTGTTAATAGCTGTTAAATTCACTCATTGTTCATAACGTTCCCTGACTTACACTGTAAATTTGGTGTAACGCAGGGAAGATGCCAAATAGGGAGGGAAAAAAGTGGGGTCACGTGATTTTACTGTATGAATAGCAAAAAGTTACTGTATGAATAGCAAAAAGTTACTGTATGAATAGCAATACTCACCAAGAATTATACTAGTCCAAAGGAGGAAATCGTCACGGTCAAGCAATGGCAGTCCGTATTATCGAGTTTGACACGCAACTACAACAGCAATATAAATCCAATCATTTAAAATTTGCATTTTCATGTTCTTTAGGCATTAAACTTCCCAGGATGACTAAATCAAAGAAGAACCTTTGTTATGGCTCTGCTCTGAAGACCTACTGCCAAATTAGCCCCTAGATTCACTTTACCCTGACGCGGCTCGATATCGTTTGGGCGTGAATTACCAACAATTACCGTGCAACCATCCTATTTGCCCTATCTACAGCCTATATCAGCATAATGTATTCATAAATTCCACAACAAACTACAGCGGAGACCCAAATTACGTGCACTCCTCTTTTAAGCCTATCTGATTTCAAGGTAGCGTCAGCGCATCTAGTAACGCTATTAGCAGCCACAACGAATGGGTTACTGGCGCCGTTAGGGGCTACACGTCCGAATTGACGGATGATAATTTTATGCAGCCGCGAGCTTTCTGGACCATGCTCGGCAAGCAGCCTGGTCAGCAGGAGCATCTAGCAAGCAACGCCGCCAACCACCTCAGCTCTGCCCTACACAGCCTGCACCAAGATGCCCTTGATATATCTTCATCCCAAAATGGCAATATCTTAAAGACCAGTTCCCATTACATTCTCAATGGTACTAATCTTTCTCTCTAGACATATTCGCCTGTATCGATCCTACTCTCGCAGAGATGATTAAGCAGAGGCTCTCTAGAATGTAATACAGTTCGTTTGAGCATAGCATGGCAATAGCGAAGTGAAGAGAATAGATAACAATAGATCAGATAGATTACAGACTACTGCTAAGTATACAGAGATCAACAGCCCTTGATTGTCACTCAATTTGTTTTGCAAATGGCTTTATCAGCATGCCTGCAACCAAGCAATCAGAACCACCCGAACCTCTGGAGTGCCAACATTGAGTCACACAACCCCAATAAGCCGCCAGTGATAGCCCAATAAGCATTTTCACAGATCTTAAGCAATCTAGAGAAGTGAAGGCCAACAGAGACTGACCAACACAGAGCTCGAAGCGCAGGTTCAGAGACCTGTCGGCAAAACTGTTGCATAGCTTCGTCCCCGCTTCGGCAAGCCTCTTGACATTGGAGGAAATTAAGACCATGGGCCACATTAAGTAGCACGAAAAGACCACATATAGCCAACTTGGACCTCATCCTAATAACGTGAGCATCTGGTAGGTTCCACATACTATTTGGTCACTTACTTGAGGGATCTCGACGAGGTGACGTTCGTGGTATCACGTCCTCTCCCCCAATGTAACTGTCGCAATAAAGTCTCAGCTATATCTTTTATTCCTGACCCCCTATAGACTGAGTAATCCATAAGCATCGAAACTATCTCCCTCCTGCTCTTGGAGAAGATTCTCCTTCTGGAGTGGTCGGGTTCGTCTTACCGTCCACTACAGGTCTTGGGCTCTTCCTGCCCTTGGTTTGGTGGCTGCTGCCTGAAGGGCTGCTCCATGGTTCGTTGTGAGCTATAAGTCACTTGATAGATTTATGGATAATTCGGGTACGTGATTCCGCATGTCGGCTGTTTGACAAGGGCTACTAGCTTGTTGAGAATAAAAAGCTCCAGCTTGAGTTTGATGCTGTACACAAGGGGCTGATATGAAGTCTGGATGTAGAAATGGCCGGTAAATATGGTAATGAGAAGAGTGATATCGAGGACAATCAGGATGATGTTGATGATGACGAGTCCCCTGACGACATGCTTCCCTTCGCCACCTCTAGCGGCGATGATGGGTTTCAGCTCGTGGCCTGCCTCCCAAATATAAAGGCCGGAAATAATGCATTCTTGGACGAAGAATACAGACAGCTGTAGCCGTTCATAGACGTTGAATGCATCGAGAAAAACATCAGGGTCAACGTTGGTACCAATCCAGAGGACTGATAACGGAATGTGAATAATAAAGAAGTTGGTGATGATCATGATGAGCACCCCACGGGTTTTCTTTCTATTAGAAACAACAAGATGCAGCCGAGAGTATAAGACCACGGACTGACCTGTGACCATCCCCCACCAGCTGATGGCCAAGAGAACGGACATCAGGATATTGGGTGCGAGAGCAAAGAGGCGCAGCAGGTTTGCCATTGCATAGATGACGGTGCCCAGGTCAGCGACTATTATGCTCCAGAAGTATAGACTGGTATAGCGCTTGAAGGTATAAAGGGCAATGATGAGGATTTCTGCGCAGTTGAGGCAGGCCATGCCGAATAGAGCAGTGATGGTCAGAGAGACGGCTAAGGGAACAGAGACTGGCCCTGTTTCCCCCGTTTCCCCCGTCATATTGTCCTTTTGCATAGTTAATAGCGTGGCGAGGAGCTTGGATGCTGAGCGTTGAGCCCGGACCGACCGATAGGATGCAGAAGCGGGGGTAATGGACGAGAATGGATGACGAGATTGATATCTGCTATCTACGGAGAGTGAGGAGAGGGGCAGCCAAAGCTAGCGTAGTCTGCTTAGTCAAGCCCCGGGGTATTTTGTAGAAGTACGGATGTAGAGAATTCAGTACCGCCACCGAACTCAAAAATTGTAAGGCTGGGCTCTGTTGATGGCATGCGAGTCATGGTTGTTCAGGAGGTACTATTTAGAGCTGGTGGTGGCGTTAATAGCCACAGACTACTATGGGGGTCTCTAATCCGACCCCTCCCCATGCGTTGTTTCTCCAACACAGGGGGGTCGATGAGGAAAATGCCCTTTGATTGGGGAAAAAAGATACATTTGACCACAGCCAATTTATATGAGAACCCAGGTAACTTCATCATTAGAATATCCCTCTTTTATTTTAATGTTAGATCCATCACGGCACATTCGATCAAGAGATTAGTGTTCAATAGAGTGTGGGTCCCAAATCTGGGCTGACGTGTCCCTTGTACCGTTTGCGCATTAAGTCGCTTACCTGGTCTAATTTCGATGTCCAGCCTCACTCTGTACGCCAGGTCACGCGTTTGGACCTATCGGTCGATTAGGTCAGCCTACATGCACTTTGCTTTTGTCCGACTGTCACAAAATGGTATCTAAGCTTCTTTTTTAATCCATTTCTTTTGCTTTATCACCTAGCAATTCATAATCACTCTGACTGTCACAGCCAAGGCATCTCTATTCTCATTTATCATTGCATTAGAATGTCTAACTAAGATGCCGCCCCCATTGAGCACTCAGGCGATTCAGTTAATCTGACCATAGAAGATCCGGAGTCTAACGAACGGGAAGAACACCTAGACTCACAAACAGAAGAGGTCTGCCTTATGGATTACAACCATGTCCGTTTCTAACCGGAGATTGACAGTTTGATCTGCCTGAGCAACCGTCTGGCGACGACGAGGGTTTTATTGACAATAGGCACCTGTCCACAGTCACTATCCCTCTTTGTCATTACTGGGGTGGTCGAAAACGGAAGAGTATATCACACACAGTTACAAAATGATCGCTACGGTTCGTATCCAATAAGATCTCTCTGAGTTTGCCTACTGATAGGTAAAGTAGGACCCCAAGGGATGAGAATCAAAGTAAGAGGTTGGATATCTGGTGAGATTTGCTTCTATGATACCATACATAATGACACATTGCTGATGATGCAGGCACCATGTTAATGAGCTACTGCTCGATGGAGAACTACACAAGGTCTCGGTGCGACTTACCCCTGAAACCCCTGACTCGTGGCAAGCGGGATGTGACCAGGCCCTTCCGCCCCCAAGTTACAGTCAAGTAATACCTTTGTCTCAGAAGCCATGCTCTAGCCCAATCTGCTCTCCCTCGTCTCATCCTATATCTAGATACGCACTGCCCAAATCCATTCCATGGCCAGCCATGGATTAATTTGATGGTTTATGGCTGCTGCAAAACCACTGTTTCACATATTTGGACCCCATGGCTTCGGCGTTGGCTCTCTGGAAGTCTTACGCCTTCGGTCGCGCGGCGACCTTTTGGAGTGTCAAATCCAATATACGGCGAACTTTATCTTCAATGTACCTTCCAAGTTGGTAGAGAGACGGCAGGCAACACTCACTGTTCGATAATAGATCATCTACCCTATCCATACAAGCCCGGCGCTCCTCCTCACCAACACGATTGGGCCAGTGACTGGTCATTATGGTATCAAACACAGAACCCAAGATGAAGATGTCTGTTGCTTCGGTTGACACCCAATCTTTACGAGGATCGAAGAAACCTGGGTTGGGGACGTGACC